GTAGGTAGGTAGGTGGGAGGGTGTGTGGGTGGGTGGCTTCAGGTAGGTATGTGGTTGAAAATTTGATAAGAAAAATTGAAAAAACGCTCGTGCGAGTAGTTAAAAATTTCAAAAGCTTTTGTTTTCGAAAAAAAAAGTTTAATAGTAAGGGTCTCTGTCCTCTAACGAACCTGATGACACATAAGGTCGGAGCGGAGGCTAGGTCTAAAGCTGAGGTCCACCACGGAGTCCGAGGACTGGGACTGGATGAGGCCAGTCCCAGCCTGGAACGTCGAGGACAGCGACCTCGGGATAATTGACCTGAAGTGCATTTGAATAATTAAAGTGTCAACATAATTTTCAGAAACCAGAAATTATTGTTAAAAATTATAACATACAAAATTGGAAATTGTATGTAAGTAGTAAATGACCAAAACATAATGCCCGACATCTGTGTCATTCAGTAGTTTGCCATAAAATAACAACAATTTAGCTTAATTAATGGGGAAATTTTAGAAATTTGTTGGTCCTTAAAGGGACTGTAAAGGAAAAATGAAAGGGGGTATAGGCTGAAATCAGTTTCTCGAGATAGGAACATCAGATATAACTTTCATGGGTCGCGATCGAGAGCTAAAGTGATTATCTTTCAGCCTATAACCCCTTTCATTTTTCTTTTACAGTCCCTTTAAATGGACTGTAGGCGTAACTTCAAGAGAACCTTCATGCAAAGATGACTATGAAAGATTTACAACGGTACCCTGAAAGGTTTTGTTTGATTCAAGTATGAACTAGATATTAATTTTGTCGTTTATTTTTATTTCCGGCTTCTCTGCAAAAGTTACTTGCTACGCATTTCTTGCTTAAAAATCAATGGAGAAACTATCAGAATTAAACACTTTGAGTCGGAAAAAAGACGGTATCTTCCACATTTTTGATTAAATTAAGGTTTCAAGGGTAACGTGGAATTCCGGTCGTGACATCTTTACAACGAGGGTAACAAGAAATTTCATTTACAGTCCCTATAGAGGTTTTGAACAGTTCACAAAACTGGTTCCACGTGATTGGAGGAAGGGTTTACTATGCGATTTAACTTTTTTTCAATTTTTTTGTTAACTTCATACAATAAACGTGAGTTTCTTTATGAAACGTACACGCGCGCAATTTTTTTTGTTCATATTCGATTTTATTAAAGAATAATAAATATAGGAATTTGAAGTAGAGGGCGGGGTTTTTTATCATTACTTAACCTGAAATTTGAGAAGCAGGTTCGTTTCAAGTCTCGTTTAACCTCAGACTTCATGGTAGTGTACTGCAGAGGTTCATTTTATTAATAAATTACCGATAGTTTTGAATTTTTTTATTTACTAAGTCATAAAGTTTGTGATTAATGTGATTAATGTAAATGAGAACAATAACGTAAAATTTAAAAAAAATTACGATGAAGAAAAAAGATAATTTACAAGAAGAGAGACACCAGTAAAGAAGAGGTGATATTTATTTCTCGATAAACGAATATACGAATAAACGAATAAACGAACAAACGAATGAACGAATAAACGAATAAACGAATAAACGAATAAACGAATAAACGAATAAACGAACAAACGAATAAACAAATAAACGAATAAACGAATAAACGAATAAACGAATAAACGAATAAACGAATAAACGAATAAACGAATAAACGAATAAACGAATAAACGAATAAACGAATAAACGAA